GGGCCAAGATAAGGAAGAGGTTTTCCTCATGATCCAAACCATCCTCATGTAGTGAGTTTTCAAAGATTGTTCGATTCAACATGGCGCACATTGTTGGCAGTCGTATCTGCGGGTGCGAGCAGCAAGATGGCCCAAGATCCTGAAAGTGGATGCCAGCCCTTGGCACAGCGAGCTGCTCTCAGCATTCTCTGTCAAGGTTTTTGCACTGAACATTTGAATATTTATTGTTCGAAGATTCTGTGTCCAAAGCCCCCAGAGGATACTTTACCGTATGGCCGTCCTCGCCGGATCTGAAGCTGGAGATCCCAATTTACAATGCCAGTGTCTCCAGGCAAGAATACAGACAATCAAGATGCAAGGAATTTTGCAGCCTCTAAGCTAATAGTCGTCCTTCAACCAAGGAACGAATTGAGCGCGAGTGGGGGATTCTTGATGTGGTAAAAGCTGCGCATCATCCACGAGTGGAGGACCGAAAAAGATGGAAGCAGGTACTCAAGAATTTCGAGATGCGACATCTGGAATCAGTGTATGGACAGCTTTTTACCAGGTGGGAAGATTCTAGTCCTCATTGGCAAGTTGTTGCGTTCATTTGTTTCAGTTTGATGCACAGGCAAGCAGCAGGCCATGACCAGAGATTTGTCCTGTCATGTATTGTTTTTCTTTTCTGGCGTCAGGTTCCCACGCCGCTTCCTGTACGATCAAATGCGTCAGAGTCCAAGGGTGTTCTCTTGGAAGTCACGAGGCCAACGAGCACTACGCTTTCTTTCTTGGTTTATGGTGTGTCTGCCGCAAGGGCGGCGGACAACAGGGCATGCGCTCGCGACTTGCTAAATGAGATTTTCAGTCAGTTCAGCTTCAATGTTCTTTGCTGCCGCCTTGGCGATGATGAGTGGCAGGAGGTGTCGATACAGAATGGTGAGGTTTCGGCATCAGTTTTTTTTTAGCCCTAGTCCAATCTGTGAAAGATTGGCTTCTGAGTGGCAAGGCCTTTCTGTAGCTTGGCGAGGTATTTGCATTTTTTGAACAGGTTCCCCTTTGACCTTGCGTGGCATTTTATTACTTTGCGTCATCGATGCAGTTGCTTGAGGGCGCAGCTACGCCGTGGCTGCGCTCTAATTTCCTGACTCCGGCATTTGCAGATTTGGTAGCATTCGCTGTGCATTTGCGCGACAGTTGCAGACAGGTGGCGCGGCCTGAGCTGTAGAACATTTTGGCAGCTCTTGCTTGCTCCGAGGCAGACCGACTCGGGTGCTGTGCGCATGGAGGAGACTATGTTGTATTGCAGTCGGATTTTCAATGTTCTTCACCAAGTGTGCAGGCAGCTGGAATCTAGGTTGCAAATGTACACGCAGCCTCCATGTCTTCATTCTTCTTGGCCCAATGTGCTGTTTTTTCTTTTCTGTCCTTTCATAAGGACGCTTCTTGCATGGAAGTGGCGCGTGTGCGAGAATCACGCGTCGTGGACAAGCACCGTCTTTCCCTTGCAGACATGTATGCTGGGGTTCAAAAACTTCGTGACGGCGAGGCGGGATGCAGAATTTGCGTATAGGTATAGGTTGGAATAACAGTTTTTGGGTTGCTGTTTGTCACAGACTCCATGTGCCAGGAGTTGTTCATTCGCACGGCATTTCCAGACAAGAAGAAGGTGAAGGTCATGCAGGTAGCATTGCTGGAGATGGCTAGGGGCTTAACCCTGTTGGTGCTTGTGAGCAGTTTGTGTTGTGTTGTTTCGGGTTAAAGCTTAAGGTCGCCTATCACAATGTAGCCCTGACTGCGTTCCGGGATCAAAACGTGGTGTGGGCAGCTTGTTTGCAAGATTTCCAGTGCTGCTTGAGGTGGCTGTTGCAAGTGTAGCCTTAACTTGATTTTGCTGTCAGATGTTTTTGGATGGCTCGACCATCGCGAAGACTCCAACGGAATCCTTCGTTTTGTACAGCTCCCTGGCTGCAGTGTACCTGGCGAACGCCTGGACTTAGTCTTCTTGACCGGGCGGAGACGCAGGCCAAGGCCCCTGGTTGCGGACAGGCGCAGTTGCTCCTCCTCTTGCTGGGGGCCTGGCAAACAGAACATTTCGTTGTTGTGCATTCTGTGCAGCGCAGCGCTTGCGTTGTCGACCGAAAACTTATTCACAGCAGCTGCTCTGTCCAAATGGATGTCAGTTTTTTTTCCGGGCGGGAAGCTGCCATGGAATCTGACAGCAGCAACAGACCCCGAAGTAGGAGTCGCGATGCTTCCAGCCAGATATCTGACCCAGCAGATAGTGACCTTCGTACCGTGACGGAAGAAAGCATGCTGCGCCTCAGCCAGGACCAACTAACCTGGTCTCGTGATTTCTTTGTGCGTGTGTATTTCGGTAAGTGCAATGTGTAACATTGTCGCAGGAGTCCGAGGAGAGTGATGGCAACGTTTCCAGCAATCTCGCCATGACTGGCGCGGTCTTTCAGGCAAATATGCTGGGATTCTTTTTTCGACATATGATCTCACGCTAACCTTTTGGTTGCTTGCGCCTGCCATCAGATGGCCTGGAAGTTCATCACAGAGCTGCTCGGCGCAGAGATGCTGATGGCCGGGCTTGTGATTCAAACTTCCTGCGTAGCGTGCCAGAATGATCAACACTCTTGCTGCTGCGCGCAGGCTTCTTGTTGGACGCAGTTCCGGCGTACATCTTCGATGTGCACTGGAATGCTAACTTGCGAGATGGCCCTCGCTGCAGTAATCCGAGCTGTGCGCGATTCGGGTTTTTTTGAAGAGCGGCATCACCGCGTTGACATGGCCTGTGTGGCGTGCTGGGACACGGCCCTAGCTAGCTTGTTTTCCTGCCTGGCTGTAGGGTGTGAGCTGTTAGACATTTTTGGCCAATCTCGAACCAAGGAAGTCTCAGAAAAATGCCATCAAGCCATTTGGGATCACCATTGCTGGATTTCCGAGGTTCTCAAGCGAGGACCCTCGGAGGGTCCGCCGTGTGTTTATGGTGATATGATGGGCTTGTGCGGCGACAGCGCAGCCTACCAGGCTGAGAAAACATTTGTGGGGAAGAAGCAAGCAATTTTCCGCTCACGCATTCGTGAGCACCAGTGGTGCCACACCCATCAGCAGGCATGCAGGGTGCCCCATGTTGATCTGGACTGCTCAGGCCTCCCATGCACAGACAATTCCCGTGCAAAGAAAGGTCGCGAGCTGCTTGATGGTCCAACCGGGCCACTATTTGCTATGTGGGCTCTCCGAATGAAGCGTTATGCGGTGAAACTGGCAATCCTAGAAAATACCCCAGACGCATGCCTGCATTTCATTTTCTCCTGTAGTCGTTGTACTCCTTTGCAGAAACCTTGCCCATTTTTGAATTTCCATTGCCTTGCCCAGGACCTGCAGCTAGATCGCCTGCGCCTTCTCTTGGAGGACGTGTACAACATCTGGCAGTTGTGGAATGACCTGGAAGATGTTGGACACTCTGGCGCTGCTCGCCCTCGGACGTATGTCATTTTTGCTCGCAAAGATGCCAGAGTGCTGCGTCAGCCTACAGATCTGTACAAGCAGGTGACAGATCACCTGAAGGGGCTCTTGAGCACGGAGCCGAAAGACTACTTGACCGCAAGTCCATTGGAGGTGGACCTTGAAGCTGCGGAGGTCTGTCGAATCCGAAAAGTGGCGCATCGGCCCGGCAGGGCTGACCTGAGCTACATCCTCACCGATCGAGAGAAACGCGCGATCAGCATCCTGTCCCAGGAGTACGTGAGAAGGTTCAAGGAGTTGCCGGAGAGCAACAGCAACCTTTGCTTTTTCTTAGGCGACGATCCTCAATGGAGTTACACATGGTCGGCCATCAGCAACAAGATACCGACGCTGAGACGGAACGCCGCCAGTTCCAAGATGTGGTTTCCGTCAGTGAGGCGGTGGTTGACTCAAGCGGAGACGTGACTGAACTGCAATGTTGGGGTTTAGGGTCTAGGGTTTTGGTCTGGGTAGATGGAGAAGTGCTTGCGTGACAGTTGAGGTTGGGCGCAATGTCCATCCCAGTGCGTTGGGCAGTTGCAAATGAGATGGGGCTGCAGCCTGTGCCGGTCAAAGACCCCAAACGTGCCGCGTCTCTGGTAGGGAACGCTATGGCCTTCAGTTGCGTGGGGGTCATCCAGATGATTTCCTTGTCGTGCTTTTCGTTCCCAGAGTAATTTGCGAGCCAAGTACAGAACAACGCAGACCGATGCAATTGCACGCGTGAAAAAGTTAGGGCAGTTCTTGAGCAGTTGCGCAAAGCATGTTGCATGGATTTCTCATGTCTCCTTGCTGTGTGCGCCTGACTAAAAGATGTCCTTATGGCACACGCTGTCCCTCTCTTGCAGTTCTCGAGACTTTGCTAGCTGCTAGCGCAGACCCCCAGCCTTTCTTTACGTGTCAGGAAGCCTTCACGGCTTTCGTGGAACATGGCTCCCAAGGCATTGGCTCCAGCGAAGGCTGGCGCTCCCAAGAGCACTGGGGCCTTGGCGCCTGGGAAGGCTAGTGGGGCGGCAAGCTCTGGCATGGGTTTATCTTTGGCAGACGTGAAGACGCTCATGGCGGAGCAGTTTGAGCGTCAGCAGGAGTTGATGTCGACGTCAAAGGGCAAAAAGAAAGCCCCCACCGTCAAGAGCGATTCCTATGCCGGTCGGCAACGGGAGGGCGACAAAATCGTTGCCTCGAAATGGGGCAAGATGGCTGCGGGAGGCTGAGCTGTGGGGTCCATTTTGTCATCAGTGTTTTTTAGTGCCGGGATTGTTCCATGTTGCAGTCATGCGTGACTGTGCTCACGGCGGTGGCATGGATGCTAGACTCCACACACATGGCCTGCCATTTTCCTGAGGACTACATGTTGAGGCGACTCATCAATTTCAGTGGAGCCGCGTGGCAGCACAGACCCGTGCTTGTGGCTTGTGTTTGCTGTTGCTCGAGAGTTTGCAGGATAAGTTTGAAGTCAGTTCATTGCAGGGAGAGTACTTCCCGTTGACGTATTTGAACAAGCAGCCCAACGATCAGCTCTGGTCGCTTTGCCTTCTGTTCTGGGGAATTACAGAGGATTCGGATGTGGCTATGCGCCGCAGCTGACATAGTTTCCCAGTGGATGGTTGCACATGTGTTGTTGCCTGACTGCGAATGCTGAAGTTGCGCATGTCACCTGCCCAGGAAATCGGCCAAGAAATACGAGAAAGATCTCTTGGGCGAGTATGTTCGCCGGGGTCGTCCCGGGGATGGGCTCTCCGTCGCCCAGATTTGCCTGCTTTGCAAGGCCGTTGAAGGCGGACAAGAGTGTTACGACCTGGTTCTCGATGAAAACCAGTGGCACCTCATGAATGGTGAGGACGACTGCGGGCTGCCGCTGCCAGACTTGAAGGCGGGTGCGGAGTACATGTTGGTGATGGAGCCGGAGACTGGCCGATGCATGATCCGCCAGAAAGGCCTCAAACGGCAGAGGACTGGTCCGCTTTACGCTGATACAATCCTCCGCCCAATGCTGAGTGAGGCAGAGTTGAATCGTAACTACTTGAAGTCGCGCCCCTTGTTTCAGAGCGTGCTTCCTCCCAACTATGACGATCTGCGCCTGAAGGACTGAATGATGCTAATTGTTGCTCCACGGCATGTGCATAATGCACCCCTAACCCATCAGCGCCCTAGGACGATGCCACGAATCCGTCAGAGGATGAGGAGGAGGATTCCGCCTCAGGCACAGAGAATGCGCGCCTCGGCATCAGCAAGGAGGTGATGAGACAGCTGGGCTTCTTGCAGAACAAGGTGGCAAAGGACGGCCAAACTCGGCAGATGGACAAGGTGTGTGCTTGCGGCCTCCCGAACAGGGAGTGCTCCCTCTGTGGGCTTGGCTATGGTCAGCATGTGGCCAGGCAGAGGCAGGAGAGGGCTGCTCGGAAGCTTCCGCGCAAGGAGGAGCCCCCGGTCGCAGTCACGCTGAAGCCTCCATCGGACTCGGAGAGCGAGGAGCCAGCGGCTGCAGAGCCTGTTTTTCTTGGAGCATCTTGGCAGCATGCGTGGAGTTTCCTGTCTTCGGTGACTGCAAGAACTGGGGGATGCGTTTTTCCTTTTTTACTGGAAAAAAGGAAAATCGTTGTTTTGGCGCTCGGATGGGTGTGGTGGTGGTGGTGGTGGTGGTGGTGGTGGTGGTGGTGGTGGCGGGGGTGGTGGTGGTGGTGGTGGTGGCGGCGGCGGTGGTGGTGGTGGGGGTGGGGGTGGGTGATTTATGTGGCATTTTCCTGGTTTTCAAAGCAGATGAGGATTTCAGTTTGAGATTCGACCGGGACATGGAGAAGTTCATTGTGTCGCGTGTGCCCACCGCCAAGTGGAAGGCGCTGTCCAATGAGTGCAGCGATTGGGGCATCGCCATGAACACCACGGACGCCCGCGCAAAGGGGTTTTGAGGTTTATCTTAAGAGCTAGGGTTTAGAGTGTAGGTCTGGGACATGACTTGCTGAAAGTCTTATAATAATAATAACAAGAATTATAATAGGACCCAACACGTTAGCTTAAGTTCCCCTGGAAGTTTTTCTCACACATTTCGATCTGACAGTTGGTTGGGGGGGTTCAGGGTCGAGGGTAAACTTTAGGGTTGAGGGTTGGGTTGACGTTGAGGATTCAGACAGTGACATCCTGGGGCGAAGCATGGGGATGATAAGGGTTGATTATTTACAGCTGGTTTTCGCTTGAGGATTTAAATTCTGTTGTTTGGATTAGGGTTGCGAGCTTGTTGCTGAGGAGGGCAGCAAGAAGAAAGGGCAGGTTTTTGTGGCGAGCAAGTCCGGAAAGGCTCCAGCCATGTATTGCGAAAAGATCTTCAAGGATGAGGACTTGGTGCCTGCTGACAAGGACGAGGATGAGAAGGCGCCGGAGGGTGGCAAGGCAGGTGATGGTGGCAATGCGCCGGCCGAGGTCAACCCGCCTGTGACTCCTGCGAAAGCTGGTGAACAGGCCACGCCGATCGAGGCACCTCCTCAGGTTCCTGTCGGCGGCGATTCCAAGGACAAGGACTGGCGTGCTGTTTTGCTCCCAAGGGCCATCCGTGAGAATGAATTTTCTGCTGAAGGGTTGGATTTGTCTGGGCTTTATGTCAGGGTAATCTTCAGGCATCACATAATAGCTGTCTATTATTATGTCATTTGGAGGCACTGGTTTTCCATTTCGTCTTTATTTCTTCCTTATGTTCTGAAGCTACCAGGCATAGCCCTTACTCCTCGTTTGGCCCTTATTTTATTGTTATTTCCTTTGTTTGGCACTTATTTTCCTTATTTTGCTCTTATCTTACTCTTATTTTCCCTATTTGGCCCTTATTTTCCCCTTATTGTGCCCTTATTCTGTCCTTATTTTCCTTATTTTGCACTTATTTTCCTTATTTTGCCCTTATTTTGCCCTTATTTTGCCCTTATTTTGCCCTTATTTTGGCCTTATGTTGGCCTTATTTTCTTTATTTTGCCCTTATTTGGCTTTTATTTTCCCGTGTAAGCCCCACTTGCTCTTATTTCGGTTTTATTTTACCGGGTTTAGTGTCGGCCTATTGCGGGGTTATCTCGCCCATGCTGCCTTTCGTCGTAGGCTTTATTGCTTCTCTATTTTCTCGGCGACTGCTGGCTTTCGGAATGGCGGGTTGTTGCCTGCGGATTCCTCATTCTGGCTGCGCGTGTGCCGGGCATGAATGGCTGACATGTTGCCTGTGTGGGTCCTTTTGAGTCCTGCCCTCTCATCAGGAGAAGGCCGTTGCTGCCGCCAAGACAGCTGCTGGGCATGTGGATGCGAAGGTCCCGAAGGCAGTTGGGGCCAAGGCGATTGCAAAGAAGTGAGCCATGGCCTGAACAGAACACGGCCCGGGATAGGATCTGTGACTTGTGTCTCCAGCTGTCTGAGCCCATGCCCATCCGACGTTCGGGCATCATGCTCTCGTGCCTGCAGCCTGCAGAGTGATATATAGACAGCCAGCCGGTTTTGTTAAGGTGTCGTTGAGACGGTCCTTGAGCGCGTTGTCTGTTGTTAGGCAGGCCGATTTTAGAGTTTGGGCAGAACAGCTTGAAGTTTTGCAGTGCCTCAAGTAGCAGATAAGCGTTGGGCCTGTTGCACAGAAAGCATGGCCCATGACTTGTACCAGCGTTTCTGAAAGTCCTGCATGAAAGAGGATCGGTGCACAAGAGCATAGGGTTCTGTTGGCCACTGTCTATATACTTGAGCCCTGCTGCTCAGGCAGTCTCGAAGTACCTTGTAGATTCGCGCGCAGAACGGTCAGCGCCTTCCGTTTTGCTAGGGAGTCCAATGTCATCCAGTGCCCTTGTTGCCTGCTGCCGTGCTGAGGTTGAAATTGGACAGATCCGGGCTGGACGTGACTCGCCTGAAGCTCAATGCCAAGAACTTGACAGCCGTCTGGGCTGCAGCCTCAGTCCCAGTTGCCAGGCAAGCTTTGGAGCCAACCGGCTCTTGTCAAGTGCGCGTAGGGGCCTGCAGGCAAATTTGCGGGCCATGAACCAGACCTGCTTGAACATGCTGGGGAAGGACCTCAGCTTTTTCATCCCTGAGAAACAGCTGAAGCTTGGTGAGCCGTTGACGCTAAGCCCAACGAATGCCAAGTTACGACCCCTGCTGAAGGGAGCCCCTCTGGCCGCAATGCGTTGGTTGTCTAGTGTAGCGCTTGCTCTGGAGCATTATGTTTCACAGCGTCTGTGCCCGAAGCACTGTGACAGTGGCCTAGGTGGGCGACGGCGAGAAGTGCGCCATCAAGGCGTGGCGCGTGCTAAGCACAAGCTGCCGGGTGTTCTTTCAGCAGGAAGACTGCCACGGGTATTGGAATGATGTGCGAAGCTTGTCTGCATTCAGGTTTTCTTTGCTGCGTGGCGCACACATGTTGATTGAGATACATAATTACTGGGCGGAGGGAATGCAATTTCACGCAGTGGGCTGGGGCCAGCGGCCTTGAAGGCTACTGTCCTCAGTACTGTGTCTCACGGTCCGTCCCTTGGAAGCACTGATGTGGGGGATGTTGGAAATAGTCTTCTGGACTGCCAGCAGCCCGCGAGCTATTTTGGTTTGTTTGCAGTTGGTAGGGCCGCGCTCTTTTGCTGCATCAGCCAAGGGTAATCGGGGGCAAGGCAACTGGTTCCGGGCAGTTTGTCAAAGAGGTTTGCTGCGCACGGTACATTGAGCGCCACAAGGACAACGAAGAGCACTGGATGGAGTTGGCAGATTCCATCGCCCAGGACATGGGCGTGGCCGTCACTTCGGATGAAGTCGAGTCCTTGATGTCGGATTGGGCAAAATCCGATACGGTGAGCAATCGGGGAGTTTATGTTGGGCGCTCAGTGTGCGGGTAGTTCTCAGTTAAGCTTCATTGCTGCGCAGCGAAATTCCAGAAGTAAAGTTCCCTGCATTTTTTCACATCCTGCAGCAGCAACCGCTGAAGATTTAGTCCCAACGACAGGTGAGGAACAAGGGCTGGTTCAGCTTGACACGGCGGTGTTTATCCCTTTCCAACAGCTGGACCATTGCCAAAGAAATCATTGGCTTTGCAGTTGCAGAGTATCAGCGGGATCACCCTGACGAAGCCGGAGAGTTGTCTGCTGCTCGGCATTAGAAGAGAAGGGTGGCATGGTGTCTTGCAGTTTTAAAGAGTCCCTGGACAATTGAGGACGAGGAGCGTGCAGATGAGGGGAGGGAGAACCAGGATCAGGAAGGCGAGGATGACGCAGCGCCAGCAGACTCCAGAGCTGTCACCAACCGCGCCGAGTGGCGTGAGTTTCGTGCCCAGTTCGCGAACAACACGCTGCTGGCGGACGAGCTGTACGGCGACAGGCCAGAATCAGTGTTGCGGAAGCATTAATCAGACTCCGCTGGGCCAGGACTCTGCAGAGGGAGCTCCTTCTGCTGTACTTGGTCACCTCGCCTATTGCCAAGGACTTCCATGAGTTCCTGGATGAGCAAAAGAAGGGTCCAGCGCCTGGGCTGAAATTTCCATCTCTACTGCGTGAGTCCATGAATTCACTACGGGGCCTCCAGAAACAGTGGGTCGCAAAGGTGCTAAGCAGTGGTGTGGAAGTCTTATTCATTGGGACTCAGGCCCACTGCTTGAAATGGGCCGCGGAGAAGTACGCGGGACACTGGTTTGACGTCGTCCTGCAGACCTTGAACCTCCTGCACGACAGCAGCATCACTGAGCGTCTTGGTTTCCTTCCATGGACATCGGAAGCGCGCACGTCAGGTGAGTCTGCTTGGGCAATGGAGGAGTGGGATCTGTGGAAAACAGCGTGGTCACTGATGGTGGAACTGGCGAGCGCCAGGCCTTCTGAGTGTTGCAGTTGTGCAGTTCGGGTGACTGAGCCGGAAAGCATCATGCAAATTTTCGTTTGTCCGCCTGTCTCTGTCTGCGCGTGTTCTGCCAGGTGCGCACGCGTGGGTCTGCTCATGTCTGCACGCGTGCATGTCTGCGCATAGGGTTGCAGGTTTAGGTGTTGGGTGTCTGCTCTGGCATTTACGGACTATAGTCTGCGTCTGCGTCTGCGTGCATGCGTTCGTGCGTGCGTGTGTGCGTGGGTGTGGGTGTGGGTGTGGGTGTGGGTGTGGGTGTGGGTGTGGGTGTGGGTGTGGGTGTGGGTGTGGGTGTGGGTGTGGGTGTGGGTTTGTGTCTGTGCATGTGTGTGTGTGTGCGCGCGCCTGCGTGCGCGTGTAGATGTCCGTGTGTGTCGGTGTGTCTGTGTGTGCGCGTCGGCGCGTAGACGTCTGTCTCTCCCTGTGTTCATGTTTGTGACTGTTTACTGGCCGTGATCACCTGCTTGTCTTGCTACGCAAGAGTGAGTTCTCAGAGTGTGCGTGAGCAGCCATGAATGCTGTGGCAGGTGTTGGTCCCAGACAATGCACAGCGTGCGCATGCCGTACGCTACTGCGGGAGTTTGGTCCACTTCACCGGAGACGCGTGTGGGGTGCATGCAGCACCAACGTCGCTTGCTGGAAGCGCTTGAGAAAGCGCATGGCTACGCAAGCAACCACAAAGATGCCGTGAGCACTTCTCTCGCCAAGTTGCTGAAAGACATCCAGTGGCACAAGTGGCAAATTTCCTTGGAGGCCTTGACTGCTGCCAGGAAGGCCGGCTACTCCCCGCAGGACAACGAGGTGCGGCAGATCTGTCTGTCCTTACACTGCGGGCAGTCGAACTCCAAGTTCACTTCAGAAGACATCTTCGGACATTTACAACACATAACACAGAGATCCCAAAAGGGATGCAATGTTATGAACAAGTGCGGCGCCCAGTGAGCAGATTGTCCTGCCCCCGTCAATTCTGATCCAGGAGAATACGTGCAGGGCTTGAGTAGGTGACTGAAAGTTAGGTTCTCGTGTCTCCATACATGAGCTGGGGCTTCTTCCCTGGACGCTCGAGGTGGACCAAATGGTTCTACAGCACCACAGCAGCCAGCTTGCGCGAGAGCATGACCATGCTGGCGCCGAAGTTGGCAGACTATATGGAGGCCCGTTCCATGCCGAAAACGAACCGCTCCGGGAAAAATTTTGTCCCCAGCAACAGCCTGCCTGAAGCAGTGGAGATGTCGAGCGCTGCAAAAGCTGCTCGCGAATAATTTACGGAGTCAGAATTTGCGGACCCTTTAACCCGGCGGCCGCCGTGCCCTCCAAAACCTAGCCCATGCTACGGGTTTTTCTCTTCCTGGGGCCTCAACTGAGGTTAAGCAGGAGTGGGGCGCAGCCGGAACAGAAGCTGACATGAGAATGGCTGCAGCTACGGCTGCGCTGTTGTACTGCGCTGGCCGCCCCAACCTGACCGACTGTCCCAAGCTGTGGGCAGGAGCGCTGGGCCATTAGGAGGGTAATAGCCTTCAGTCAGTTGCTACCTAGAGTTTCTAGACAGCGCCACATCCCCTCAACACAGTAATCCTAGCAGTATAGGGTCGATGTTCTGATAGTAAAAATTGAATCCGACATGGTTTCAGATCTTTTGATGATAGCTGATAACGTTTCGAAAGTACCAAACAGGGGATGTTGCGTTTTTTTGATATCCAGGGTTCTGAGCCTGTTCTAGCGCAGGCTGCATGATGAAGAAAGGCTGCGTTGTCATCAGCAACACTGGAAAGGCGTATTTGTCCCTTGGGTTTCGCGCTTGGGCTACCATGGCCGTGTGCCTGAAGCAACATTCGCATGAAGATCAGGCTGGTTGTTGATCAAATGAGGATCAGACTTAGACTCCTTTCATCGCTGCTACCGCCATATGCTCAGGTGGTCTATTCCTTGGATTTGACAAGGGAGCCTGCTGATGGCTCCTTCTGGCCGGAATGGCTCATGAACGCGGACCCTTCCGCAGCAACTTGCGGGTGGCAGATGTGCAGCGTGGAACCTCTCCTGCCCGCTTTCGTGCCAGCTACCCTGACTCACTTGCACAGTGTGCTGCATGTGACAGCAGGGCCGTATGCCCTGCCCAAAGCGGCAGTGAGGTTTGGGTGCTGGATGAACAAAAGTCAGCTGTCCCACATGGCGACCGCAAATGGGATAGCAGTCCCAGAGGGCACGGGGAAGCCTGACAAGAAAGGGGTGCGTGGAGTCAACAAGCGTGATTGGGCTCACGCACTGGTGAACCATTTCTTTCCCGAATGCAACGAGAAAGAACGGCAGGAGATGGTGCAAGGCATGTGCTGGGGAGCCAGACACTCCTTCAAGGCTCCGCTCGAGACTCTGCAATCTGTGAAGATGCTGGACCACGACAATGCGCAGACCTTCGAGGGTTTGGCCAAGCTCGCCGAAAAGTCTCGAGAGGAAAGCGCGCAGGCCGCTGGCAGGGGTGCCCTGGCAGCAACATGAATTAATTTATCTGCACCCATTTGTCAATTTGTTGCCGCCAAGGCCTATCTACATTGCAGGAAACCCGGTGATGTGCAGCCACTCACTTACCTACCCTCTCCCTGTAAGACTTCTCCAGTGCCTTGACTTGATGTTTCTGAGGTGTCAATTTGGAGGCCGCCTCTCGACGCCGGCATTTTACTCCTTTGCAGTTGACTCTCGGTCTGAACAAATCAGCTCTTCGGTGCCCATGCACGCTGGAAGTCCCCAATCATAGTTGATCCCTAAGCCCGCCCTGAGCCATGGACACCAAAAGCCCTCAACTTTGTGCGCCGCAAGCTTGCTGTCCTACCAGTCCTACCAGGCGCCCTTTGCTGCCTGGAGCTGGAACTTTGGAAAAATGTTATGTGCAGCGCAACCCATCGCGCTGTGTCTATGAAGGATTCTACCCGCGTGCCTTGTCTGTGATTTTGTTATGTTAGACCCCCTAAAGCTAAGAAACTGTTTGGTGACCACCTTCCTTCAAACCAAAACCGCAACATCAAAACCTGCTTCCCGAATTCAGCTCAGGTAGCTAGATTGCTGAGTAGTGTTTTCCCGCCATCGAAGCCAATTCTGACAGGTCAAGCAGCATGCGCATTATAATCCGGAAAATATCCCAGATGGTCAGCTAGCACCCTTCCTATAGTAAAACATGCCCCAGCCTATTCCTAACTACTGAGTTGCAGACAAAGCTTTGGGCAGTGGCATGAAGTCGGCCACTTGGGACGGCCCAAAGGAAAAATTGAGTGAGACACAGGCACTTTTTCGCGTGCTGGACACAATGTGGACGTGGCATCTTGCAACAATCACGAATGACAAAGACAAGGCGACGCAGCGCCGCCTGGTGTACCTGGGCTACTGAGACCTGCAAAGCTTTCGGGGCTTAGGGTCCAGGGTTTAGGTTTAGGATTTAGAGTACCGGAGTCCTCTGCCCAAAGGCCTAGACCCCAAACCCAACAAGCTAGAACCTCAAACCCAAGATTCTTCACCTTTAATTAACCTTGAACTTGGAACCCAAAGCCCCAACCTGTGAACCTTAAGCCCTGGAATCCGGCAGCCCAAAAACGCTTTCGCTTCACCTTCCTGGTCGTGGCTTTGCAGTGTGGGCTGTAGTGCGACTTCCGTGTAGGGTTTAGGGCTAAGGGTTCAGGGCTTAGGGTCTAGGGTTTACGTTTCAAGAACTTGCAGTACTTGGGACGTGGATGTCTGACCCCAGATGAAATTTCAAACGGTGCCTTGTATTGATTGTAAAAGCGAAAGTAAGGGTATAAACGAAAGTAAAGGTCCCCCCAATCCGATAATCCCAAATATGACTGGGCCTTCGTGTCATGGGTTGTGAGGAGGGTCCGTTTATCAGCACGTGTTGGCTAACAAAGTCCGCTAGCCAAGGCCGACGCTAAAGGATGTGGAGAAAGTTGTGGGTACATTTAATGCCAAGACGGGCTTCGTGCAGAGCACAGACGCCACTACGTCTGCAAGCTCTTCTGCTGCAGGGGCCAAACGCAAAGCGGCTGGCGCTCCCGCAGCAGCTGCTGAAACTGCAGCAAAACCGAAGTCAAAGCTGGCCAAGAAGTGACAAAGGGCAGCCGCCCTTTTGGGGTTTAGGGTGTAGGGTAGGGTCTAGGGTTTAGGGTCTAGGGCTTAGGGTTTAGGGTTTTGGGCTTAGGGTCGTTTGGGTTCGAAGGGCTACGGGTAAAAGGTTTGAAATTTGGTGCAAACGCGCACCGGCGGCAAGTCTGCAGTGCAGTGGCATGCACCGGTAGCTGAACCCCAATCCTAGCAAGGTTGTCTGAAGTTATCCTCCAACACGAAGTATATATAGGCAAGCCTCCTACCCGAAATAAGGCACAAGTAGCACCAGTAGCTGCACCCCTTTCTTGGCAAGGTTCTTTGAGTAGTTACTTTCCAACACAAAAGATGGATAGGCAAACCTCCTACCCAAAATAAGGCGCAAATAGCTTGAGCCCTTATTC